TGTCCACTCAATGTCATTTGTAATATATTGTGAATGCGTTTAACTTTGTCATCATTTACTCACCCTTTGTGGAACATAAAAGAACGTTTTTTAAAAAATATCTCCAATTTATATATATATATATATAATGAAGTTTGAAATTACATAAGGGTTCACAGAAAAAAAAATTCTACATTTTACAATTAATTACAAAAAGACTGCAACATTGAATTAAACTTTAAATTTTGAAGTAGAGAGACTGATATAGTTGTTGATTGTAAAGTGTATGCCAATAATCTGGCGTATATATATAAAAAAAATATATTTTTTTACAGTGAGAGTATTTTTATTTTATTTTATTTTTTTCAATGTGAACTACCCCTTTAAGAAAGCTAACACGATCATATTTTGCTTACCAGAGACTTACCAGAGAAGTCTCAAAGTGTTGAGATTAAGTCATGGCCGCAATGCTGCATCATTGATGTGAAGTTAGAGGGGGACTCATGAAATATTCCTGACCATAATGCTCAGGTGGCTCTAAGTTTAGTGACAGCCACAGACAGGTCTAAGAAGTGCTCGGCTACCCTGTGGGCCTGGGAACACAAGACACAGAAAAGAAGTGACAGCCTATGCAAAGGACTACACTGGGGCATCTTCCCTGCTGAAGACAGCAAGTCACGCTATGTGGCCAGATGCTTAAAGGACAGGAGCACAGGATTTTAGTCAAGAGTGAGGTCTCTTGGGGTGACATGCAGTTGTCTGTTTCTTCATTGGTGAAGTATCCAAACAGTCTTAGTTGTCAAAAGGGAAGTAAGTCTGGATTTACACAGCATTAAGTGGGTTGATCCTCAAATCAAGTCCCCATTTTAATTTAAAATTTGTATCTTTTCAGTTGATTGAGCTTTCAGAAGGATCTCTCTAGCTGTAAATCTTTCTGTGGGTTCAAAGAAATGTGGCATTTTCATCCAAGATCTAAATCCAGTACTTGCCTTGGTCACAAATTAAAATTCAAGCATTTTTTTTTACATCAAGTAGGCAAAATTTTTTAATTCATAATCACTGCACAAACTTTCATATCTATATGTGTGTACTTTGAATACATTAATCAACAATTCTGAGCTTTTTAACCCTCTGGTATTGTTCATTTGGGAGTCACACTTGTGTTATTCGTGGTCAAAAGTGATCGGACACCTGAAATGTAACTCTTTTTTTTTTTCTCAGTGAAATCAATGCAATATATTTTTGTTCTATAATATTTTTTTTTCTTTTGTATTTTTAAACAATTGCATGATATTATTTATAATAATTATGATAATTTTTCCTATTGAAAAAAAAAAAAAAAAACTATTATCTTTCTATTACACTCTTAAAAATAAAGGTGCTTCCCGATGCCATAGAAGAACATTTTTATCTAAATGGTTCCATAAAGAACCTTTAACATCTGAAGAACCTTTCTGTTTCACAAAAGGTTCTTTGTGGCGAAATAAGGTTCTTCAGATTATAAAAGGTAAGAAAGAGATGGTTCTATAAAGAACCTTTGACTGAATGGTTCTTTGTGGAACCAAAAATGGTTCTTCTATGGCATCGCTTGAAGAACCTTTTGAAGCACCTTTATTTTTAAGAGTGTACTTTTCAATTAGCATTTCATGTTAAAATAGAGACAATGCCTTTAAAATCTAATTTCTGAAGGCAGATCAGTTCCATCTGGTGGGAGCAACAAAAAAAAACATCTGAAATTCTGTGGTTTAGCCACTAGATTCCTATACATTCCTATACATATTTGAAGTCCTCTAAAAAAAGATCCAGTGTCCATACGATTAATTCCAGACATTAATTTTGTTTCTATTTCAGCCAGTGTTTTTAAATATTAATTTAACTACATTAAGGTCCTGCCATAGCCATCTTTAAAGAGAATGTGACAGGCATCTTAAGTTCCTGAATCTCCAAAGTAACTTCCTTAGGGTCCTGCGAGTTCACAGTGTGAGGGTATGTGCGCACGTATGCCTTTGCCCTATTTACTTAAGAGAGCAGCTGTATGTGCAGCCCAGTGGTAGGGGTTTAAGATGTAACTGTGTTTGAGCAGTCTATGAGGGGAGAGGGCAGAGAGTTGGCAAATCACTTTAATGTTTAGGAGGGAGCCAGTGCTGTTGTGGAGGTCATGCAGGTCCACTTTAATTTGTTATTTTGGGGAGGTGAGCAAAAATTTAATTCTCAGTACACATTCACTTATGCATCTCTAAGAAGGTCTTCAGGTAATGCTGAATTCAGCTCATGAATGGAATTCTCTTCCAGCAATGATTCCATGCTGTGACTCCATTTAAGAACATGATACAGTTTTGCATTTATAGTAACAAAATAATAAGTTACTGTAATTTTGTCTTTTCTGTCATAAAATGTATTTACTTAATTAATCCTTCCTGAATAATATTATTAAAAAACTTACTTACTCCAAACCTTTGAATGCTACTTACAATCAAAGGTACAAAAGCTGTCACTGGGGCAGTAACCTTTCACCTTTCTAATATGCACCATTTAGGTAACTTTAAATCTTTCACCCCTAAAAGGAGCTAATGAAAAAATTATTTAACTTAAAATTCCTATTAGTAGACATCTAATAAATAGCATCAAGCACTTTTTTTTAAATGTTTTATATAAAACTCTAACGTACAGTTGAGCTGTCAGTCCATGGTAAAACTTGATTTAAATTCAGAGAGCTATTTCTATTAGTTATTTTCCAATAATAAACATTCCTTTAACTTTATTAGTATCTTGGATACATTTCATAACTTTCCAAAAAGGAAAGTAAGCGTCTCTATAATATATATAGACATATGGCAATATATATGTTATATGATATCCTGTACAGACATATCAACCATACGGTCACGCATGATTATGGATAATTATGGTATATAAACATTTTTGCATTTTTCATATATTTTGCTATATTTCTGTTCTTTGCCCTCTACCCTATTCACAAAAACATTATGGTTTCATCCCTACTTCCTTGATTGCTTGTTTGACCCTATTATCTGATGACTGACCAGCACTATTCTCCCTTCTGTGTGACTGACTGAAGTTTACAAACTGCTGCTGTCACTTGAAAACTGGAAATTCCCAAACCCCTCATGGCAACAGCAGACACATAGATGGGGCAGTACAGCTGTGGAAAGATTGCTCTCTCATCTCTTCCTTTTGATAGATGTATTCCCTATTAAAGTAAGCTCAACCATACAGTAGAGATGTCAGTTAAAGGGTTAAGGTGCTAATATGCACCCTTTAGGGGTAAATAACCTTATGTACAAAAGTATACTTTTTTGAAAGGGTGAAGGGTTATATATATATCTCTCTGCCTGGAAGGGTGTGTCTATATCATCCTAATGCATGGAGGAGGAGAGTTTGAGTGACCAAAGACTCTCCAAGGATCACAGCTGGAGAATTGCAGAGATTAGTTGAGTCTTGGGGTCAGAAAACTTATAAAATATATCAAACAGTCCCTGCATCACCACATGTTGTTTAGTAGGGTTTCAAGAAAACTCCTCCTTGCTCATCCAAAAACAAACTCCAACATATTCTGTTGTCAGACATGACTGAAACTTCAAACGGGACTGGCTTCTATGGTCAGATGAAACAAAAAAAGGAGATTTTTGGCAGCAAACCCAACAGATGGGTTTGGTGCAGACTGGGATAAAAAGTACCCCATGCCCAGGGTTAAATATACTGCTGGATCTTTAATGTTGTGGGCCTATTTTTCTGCCAGAGGTCCTGGACATCTTATTCAGATACATGGCTTTATGAATTCTATCAAATACCAACAGATAAAAAATCTAAACCTGACTGCCTCTGTTAGAAATCTTACAATGGGCCGTGGTTGGATATTCCATCAGGACAATGATCCAAAACAAACATCAAAATCAACACAAAAAATGTGTCACTGAACACAAAAAGAAGCTTCTACCATGGTCGTCCCAGTTCCCTGACCTGAACCCTATAGAAAAGGAGTGGGGTGAACTGAAGAGAAGAAGCATGTGGAGCTGGGAATCTGAAGGATCTGGAGAGATTCTGTATGAAGGAATGGTCTCTGATCACTTGTCAGGTGTTCTCCAAACTCATCAGGCATCATAGGAGAAAACTCGTATCTTATCTTGGGAAAAGGATGTTGCAATAATTTGGAGGTGAGACAACCGGTTTTCACAGGCCCGGTGTCAGGCAAAAATGGGTTCACACACACTAAAGAAAAAAAAATCCCTCAAAAAATGATGGCAATACTCGCAGAGATGTTATAGTGTAAAGTGATGGTTTATTTACAGTGTTTGAGAGGTGCAAAAGTCCCAGGAGAAAAATGGCCAAAGCTATATACAAAGTTACAAAGAAAACACTGTACGTACAAACAAACAAACAGAAATGAATATATACACACAAACATCAGTATTGGTAAGAATTGCTCATGGCACCACAGTTGCATGCTCACTCATCAGGTAAACTGACAAAACAATGAAGGGTACTGATCCAGAAGGTGGTGCAGCTCAGCTTGTTTGGGCTCTTCCAGATGAAACAAATCAATATACAGTAATATACTAAACCACTGCTACACTGTTTTAAAGGATGCATACCACTCTGTCCCTCGAGCAGTGCTGGGACTCTCTGATTTCTGTTTGGTTCATCTTCTACCAGCCTACAGGCAGAAACTCAAATCTGCTAAGCCTGTAGTAAAAACTGTAAAGACATGGACTGTTGAAGCAGAGCAGGATTTACAGACCTGCTTCGAACTTCCTGATTGGAGTGTTTTTGAGGCTGCAGCTACTGATCTGGATGAGCTTACTGACACTGTGACATCCTACATTAGTTTCTGTGAGGAAATGTGTGTGCCCACCAGGACTTATTTAAAATTTAACAACGACAAACCTTGGTTCAGAACAAAACTCAAACAGCTTCACCAAGCCAAAGAGGATGCCTACAGGAGTGGGGACAAAGCCTTGTACAAACAGGCCAAATACACAATAAATAGAGAGATAAGAGTAGCAATGTTAAACTACTCTGGAAAGCTAAAAAAACGTCTCAGGTTACGTATGTAACCATGGTTCCTCGAGAGAATGAGATGCTGCGTCGGAGTACGTTTCGGGAACGCCTTTCAGCGTGACCGGCTCTGAACCTCATGTGTAATCAATCCAATAGATGGGCGAGATGTCACGGGCGGGTGACGTAGTGACCAGGAAGCTATAAAAGCATGTGCGGTGAAACCAGCGTCAGCTTCTAGGAGTGAAGCAAACGCTGGCAGAGATGCCGAAAGTATGGCCCCGAGACGCAGCGTCTCGTTCCCTCGAGGAACCATGGTTACATATGTAACCTGAGACGTTCCTCTTCAGGAACTCGAGCTACGTCGGAGGACGCTTCAGGAACGAGAATGCCCACGCCGCCAGACTTTCAAATCATGCCTAGTGTGGAAGCGTGCACAGCTAAGGCGCGAGAACAGAGGAGCCAGGAGTGGCTCGCATATCTAGGCCATAGAACCTGACAAAGGTTAGGAGCATGGACCATCCCGCAGCGTTGCAGATGTCCTGCATCGAGACACCTGCCAAGAAGGCCTTAGAGGCCGCCACACTTCTGGTAGAGTGAGCCTTGAACCCAAGAGGCGAAGGGAAATCAGAGGACTCATGGGCAATAGAAATGGCATCTATTATCCACTGACTGAGGGTCTGTTTAGTAGCTGGAAGACCTCTCTTAGGGGGACCATAGCATACGAGCAGTTGGTCCGCCCTTCTCCACAGGGCAGCTCACACTGGACACATACAGTTTAGCTTCTGCTGGTCTGGACCCCCGAAGGGAGGAGGACTGAGGGCCTGGACAACGACAGGCCGTACAAGAGGCCTCAGCCTCAGCGCACCGCGGAGGAAACGTGTAACTAGGGGGTGTCTGCCCACTGACTGGCCACCAAGAGGGGCATGGCACGTCACTTCCTGTTTGTTGCTGCCGTGTGTTTTGAGTTTGAGCTCCGTCAAGTTAATTCTTTGTCGTCTAATTTTTTATCTTAAAATCAATTTTATACACCATCCTTGTTCTATAATGTGTGAATATATCCCCTATCGTATTCTACAACAAAAACAATCAGAGCGCCTTGTTATCACTAGTTCTATTTTTGACTTTCCGAGTCCACTATTAGCATATAGCCCGCTAACATCGCCAGCGTGGTTGGACGCAGCTGCCATCAGACCCAGCAGTCTCTGAAACAGCTTGAGAGTGAGTGACCGGCCTTCTATGACTCTCGCGACTGCGGTAAGGATTGACTCGATCCGAGCAGGGGACATACGTGCCTGCATCGTGGTCGAATCCCACACCACGCCTAGATAAGTGGTCCTCTGTAATGGAGAAAGCACACTCTTCTTGGCGTTTAGTTTTAACCATGTGGGCGAGAACAACGTCTTGATGTCGAACCACCATCTGCTCTGATTGAGCTAAGATCAACCAATCGTCGATATAGTTTAGTATACGGATGCCCTGGAGTCGCAACAGAGCCAGGGCTGCATCCCTACACTTCATGAAAGTGTGGGGTGAGAGTGCAAGGCCGTAAGGAAGAACACGATATTGGTACACTTTGCCCCCGAAAGCAGACCTCAGGAACTTCCTGTGAGTGGGAAGGATGGATACATGGAAGTATGCGTCCTTTAAATTGATCATGACAAACCAGTCCTCGGACCTGATCTGAGACACGACTTGATTGAGAGTGAGCATCCTGAACTTCAGTCACATGACTGAGCGGTTCAACTGACGCAGATCTAAAATGGAACGCAACCCTCTATCTTTCTTCAGAACTATGAAGTACTGGCTGTAGAACCTGGACTGTCTTGCATGAGGAGGGACCACCTCAATGGCCTCCTTCCTCAAAAGAGTAACTACTTCTTGTTCCATGACCAGAGCCTGCTCGGGGCCCACCAGCGTGGGGTGTAATCCCGTTGAAACGAGGCGGAGGAGAACCATACTGGATTCTGTAGCCCTTCTCTACAGTGTGCAGGACCCACTGAGACACATTTGGCAGTAGTTTCCATGCTGCCAAAAAGTCTACCAAGGGAATCAATCTCTCGAGACTGATCTCTGGTGCAATGCAAGCAGCTAGCTCGGTGCCCTGTAACGGCGGACCGGCAGGGGACAACC